ACCAAATTAAACACAGTGTGCTATGCTCACAACCCAGATAACATAATCAAAGTAGTTTTTTGTGTTAGATGTAAAAAGTTTTGTAATCCATTGTCTTATAATAAAATCAAAGAAAACAAAACAAATGAGAACTATCCAGTTTAAAATATTTAAGGAATAAGGGGAAAAGGCAAGTTATAGCACATATAGAAAGGTATACGGTACAAGCGCCACTCCTTACCGTAAATATGTCACCATGTTTCAGCTTCATTCGTGTTAAAAACTTGGCAGCATCCTTTCCAAAATCCAGTGCATGTCCCAGCCATGGAATGACTCCCTTATCTAATGGAGGCTCCCGCTTGGACCTGCAGCCAGAGTGATATTTCATGTAAGTTAAGTCAGTAAATCAGAAGGTTACAATCATTCTGACAGTGGAAATTAGTCTGGTGCCAAATCACGTTATTGGAGTGACATTAGGTAAATATGTTTAATGACAGCATGATGTCTTAATGCGACTAGTAAGTGCATTATAGAAATAATAAACAGGGGAAAAATGAAGAGCACACCTAACATTACTCATCCTGTCAGTCTTATAATATTTACTTTTGCCTTTCACGACAAAATCTACCTCCATAAGCCATCCACACACAGACAGACAGAGAGCAGATTATTAAAACTAGGTGTAAACAGAACACAGTATCCAAGGTAACAGAACACTGTACTGTAAAAATGGGCTGGGCAATATTGATAAAATTCAATATCATAACATTTAACAAATACATCATTAGTATCAGGTGGTAGTTAATAGGAACTCTATGCTAAAAGAATGTCTTGCAAACCTGACATCACTTATTTTGATTGGACCGTTTGGTTCTGTTTTCTTCGATTAAACCTTTACCTTACACAGTATTGTAAAAGTTAACTAATCCAAAAGCACATTTTCTACCATATAATAAAATGTTCTTGTGTTTAATGTGTTTTAACTGTTCTTTCAGAACAACCTGAAGCACCCAGTAAATTAACTACATTACAGTTAACTGTCAGGACCTGTACACCAATAGTAAAGCATGCAAAATAATATTAATAGGCTAAAAATAAAGCTCAGTTTACCAAAAGCATCGTAGTGTTTAGATCATTTTAACTGGTAGAGATAGTGTGTAGTGTGATGCTCGCTCCACCATTTAGGAGTCATCTAATCTACTAAGATTGGACCAATAGAAATCCTCCAAAATTGCTTAGAATAAAAACTCTTACATCAAAAGTAAAGGTTTTTGCCCTCTCCTGTGAAGTTACTATTTCGCAGATACTCGTTCATCAAGGTAAAAACAATGTAAAAGTACCCTCAAAGGCACGGTGGTTCAACTGTTTACCTTCAATAAGTTTCCCCAGAGGAAAGGTATGTGATCGTACCTTTTCATAATTTAAACAGAATAGTGAAATAAAAGGCCTGGGGACAAAACAGTGTGCGTGGAGTCAATACAACTTTCAAACATATGATTTCAAAGGATTACGCAATTATGATCGCTAACTAAAGTTACTGAAGATGTCAAATAGAGTCCCACCCCAGTGACAGGTACCTTTTTCTGAGGGTGTAGTATAAACGATGTAGCTCACCCAGCTACTGTGACTGTATTATACAATATATAACACACGCTCACCGCAGATGGCAGAGCGTTCTTTTGTCTAATCGACAGACACTTGAATTCAGATTTACGGACGATTCTGAGAAACAACAGTGTATCAAAGTTGAGGTAGTTCCTCGCGCTCACGCGCTCCATACTCACCGCGTACGATTTGAGAGAAAGAAAAAGAAAAGAATCCCGTGGAAGAGGAGGAGGATGGTCCAAATCATCGTGCTCCTGCCTTTCGTGTTGCCGAAGTGAACAGATGTAACTGTAGTAGCAACAGTAACTAACTCGTGCTGTGTGAGAGGCTTCTTATAGTCCTCGTGTGGGCTGGACTTGTGTCACATGCATCATACATGAAACGAGTTTATTGACGCACACCCACACTGGATCAGACCAGTTACTGCGACTTTATTCTACAGCTGACTTTCTCTGCTTCATCCTTCACACTTTAAGAAAGTTCTTCAAGGGTTCTTCAGTAAAAGTATGATGGTTCTACTTAAAAACTTGAGTTCTATATATAACTATACAGAACACAGTCTAATAAGAAGAATAATTTCACCATGCAAAGAACCATTAGAGCATCAAATTATATATATATATATATATATATATATATATATACGTGTCTATATATACACATGTATGTATATTATATATATATATGTATATATACACACACACACCGATCAGGCATAATATTATGACCACCTCATTTCAACGCTCATCACAGCAGTGCTGCTGGAGTTTTTAAACACTGTGTCCACTCACTGTCCACTCTATTAGACACTCCTACCTTGTCAGTCCACCTTGTAGATGTAAAGTCAGAGATTATAGCTCATGTCATCAGTGGTCACAGGACGCTGCCCACAGGATGCTGTCAGCTGGATATTTTTGGTTGGTGGACTATTCTCAGTCCAGCAGTGACACTGAGGTGTGTAAAAACTCCAGCAGCTCCGCTGTGTCTGATCCACTCGTACCAGCACAACACACACTAACACAACACCACCACATCAGTGTTACTGCAGTGCTGAGAATGATCCACCACCAAAATAGCATGTGCTCTGTGAGGGTCCATGGGGGTCCTGACCACCTAAATGTAGAACTACAAAGTACACCTATATAGTAAGTGGAGGTGATAAAATGGACAATGCACAGAATTTATTATCTATTATGCCTGATCGGTATATATATATATATATATAGAACCATTGCCTTTACTAAAGAACCCTTGGATAACCATCTTTTTTAAGTGCGTATTTTATAAATACATCAGCCTAATTTACATTTTTAAAGATAGAGCTGTATAGGCTAACTCACTTGAATATGACGGAGATAATTGTGGAGGTGCTTAGCAGTAAAAGACAACCACCCTGCATAGTGGTATTTATGAAAATCTTACAGTAATACCATCTCTATCCTGATGTGCGTGATCTCTTGCAGAGTGAGAAGTATTTTTGTTGGCCATGTAAACAGTCAAAAGCATATTGAGCCATGATGCTCCAGGAAAATCTAATCCAAAAGGATCATGGGAGATTTATGAGAGAACAGAGAGAGAGGACTGGGATTTAAAACAATCCCTGCATCCAAAACCACACAGACTAATCATACTATCATATACTATAATACAGACCTACTGTACAATACTGTACTACACTATGCTAATCAATTTACTACTAAAGGTGGTATACTATTTCGACATATGATTTTTAGTCATGCTTTTCAAAAACACTAAAACACAGTGAATGATGTTTACTGCCTTATGTTGCCAAGAATGCTGTCTTTCTTGGCAACCATTTAAATACAGTAAAAGACACCAGTAGAATCTGACACCTGTTCTTTTTAATCCGATTTTGTTTTTCCCATGTAGTGTTGACCTAGGGCACATAACCAGAAACAGAGCCTTGCTACTTTGCAAACAGAAAAAAATAAAAGAATGAATGCATCAAGGAATGAATGAATAAATGAATAAATAAATGAATGAGAAATTTATTTTCATGGTGTGCCAAAAATCCCAATGTTAGTGTCACTTTTATGTGACATCATGAAAAGCTGAGCCTACAGCAATAGAATGATACATGTAATAGACAGATATATGCAATTGATGAATATACACTATATGGACAAAAGTATTGGGACACCCTCCTAATTATTAAGTTCAGGCGTTTCAGCCACACTCATTGCTAACAGGTGGAGAAAATTAAACACATAGCCCTGCAGTCTTGATAGACAAACACTGACAGTAGAATGGGTCGTACTGATGAGCTCAGTGACTTTAAACATGGCACTGTCATGCCACCCTTGCCACAAGTGTATGAATGAAATTTCTGTCCTGCTAGATCTGCCCCTGTCAACTGTAAGTGCTCTTATTGTGAAACGGAAGCACATTGGAGCAACAACAGCTTAGCCACAAAGCACTAAACCACACAAACTCAGAGTGGGGTGCTGAGTGCTGAAGCGCACAGTGCCTAGTCTCTGTTGAATTGCTCACTAAAGAGTTGCAAATTGCCTCTGTAAGCAACATCAGCAAAAGGACTGCAAATTAGGAGCTTCACGAAATAGTTTCCATAGCCAACCAGCTACACACAGGCCTAAGATCAAAATGCACAATGCCAAGCCTTGGTGGGGAAGTGGTGCAAAGGACGCCGCGACTAGACTCTGGAGCAGTTAAAACACATTCTGTGAAGTGATGAATCATGCTTCTCTATCAGGCAGTCTGATAGACGAGTCTGGGTTTGGCGAATGCCAGAACGTTACCTTTCTTACTGTATTGTACCAACTGTAAAGTTTGGTGGATGAGGGATACTATGGGGTTGTTTTTCCAGGGGTTCCAGCATGACTGAGCCCCAGTGCACAAAGCAAGGTCCTGAAGGCATGGCTGGGTGAGTTTGGTGTGAAAGAACTTGACTGGCCCGCACAGAGCCCTGACCTCAACCCCATCAAACACCTTTGGGATGAACTAGAATGAAGACTGCGAGCCAGTCGAACATCAGTGTCTGACCTCACAAATACTCTTTGTGCACGAATGAGCAAAAATTTCCACAGACACTCTCCAAAATCTTGTAGAAAGTGTCCCTGAAGAGCGGAAGCTGTTGCAGCTGCAAATGAGGACCAACTCCATCTTAATGCCTATGGATTTAGGATGGGACGTCATAAAAGCTCCTGCAGATGTAATGTGTAGGTGTCCCAGTACTTTTGTCCATATAGTGTAGCAGTTTAGCCCTGCCCATAAATGTTGAAGTTAAAAGGAATGTTTTAGCCTGGACTGCTTTTTGAGTGAGGAACAACACAGGACCGATCAAAACAGACATCACTTACATATATCTAAACCCAAACAAACATCATAGCAAAATAAATCTTTCATGTCTGGCAAAAATAAAACTGCTGACAAAGTGGTTCTAACCCACTGAAGAGAACTGAATGAACATTTATTGAAGATATGGAGGATGGCACTTCAGTTTCAGAGCAACGTGAAGCTTTAGTTCTGTAGATCAATATTTAACAAACTAATACTTGTACTTTTGCAAAATCTTCTGTTTAGCCAGATATTTGAAAGAAATACATTATCCTAGGAGAAACAAAACAGCGAACAATACAACGGAACTGTTGGAAAAAGCATTTTTTTCACAGGCTATGATTTGCATACATTTCCAACAGCTTGTAGGCCTTGAATTGCTGTATTTAAACATTTACATAGGTTTATATTAACCTTCTCTATTAAACTTTATCCTGCGTGTCCTCCTCTTGTGACTCAGGCGCCCTTGGAGGCTCTCTTACATCCTCGGGAGTGGTGCCAAAAATCGCCCCTGTGCGCCGGAGCACGAACACTCCAGCATGCAACCCGCCTACGTTCACCCAAACAGTGTGCGATTTCCTCCACAGCCCACTCATCCGTAGAAGAGCCTGTAAGAGTAGCACACACAAAGAATACACACAGTGGATTTGCTGTTATTGCTCACACAATCCTTCCCTTTTACTCGTAGATTACTCATAACTCGTGGGAAGATTCGTACAACCAGAAGTTCTTTACTTTTAAAAATCTCACTACAATAGACCTCTTGTTCTTCGATCATATGACATAGACGTGCAATCTGAAACACAACCATTTCGCCAAGATTTTGTCAAATGTAAACAATTTCCACAACAATGTTTATTCAGCTACTGTGGTGTACCAGAAATGACAGTCTAAAGCACTGATTATGTTTACATTTACATTTACATTTACATCATTTAGCAGACTGATTATGTAACTGTAATCTAAAAAAATATAGGTTCCTGAGTGGTTCTTGGCTTGGATGTATGGTACTAGGAAAAAAACATAAATTGTATAGAACCTTTACAGTATGAGGAAGTCCTTAAAATGTTTTAAAGGGCTGTTCACACTCATATACTCACATCTCATGTACAAAAAAACAATCTTTAAAGAACAATCCATTGAAAAGTTCATTAGGGAATCAAAAGTGGTTCTCTTACAGCATCACTCCAATGAACGCTTTTTGGCACCTTTATTTTTGAAAGTGTGCCAATCTGATTAACCTCCATAGCTAGAACATCTGAGAACATGTAAAAATCTTACCTTTTGAAAACATTTTTTGTCCTGAGTTAGCAGTACAGCCCTTCCTGTCCCTGGCCTGCAGACGCGTGCCATTTCCCGAAGGCAAGAGGGGTACAAATCCCAGTTCTTCTTCTTGGAACCCATTCTTTCAAGATGAGACATGTATACAAAAATATCAAATCTCCAAATACTTAATAAAACATGCATAACGTTCCCACCAAAAGTAGCTGAAGGAGCATTGTGGTTAACACAATAGAGTATTGGATGATAAGGTTCTCTTGGAAGAAGAGCAGCAGTGCAAAACGATCCGCAAAAATGTATGCAGAAAAAATCCAAATATGGCTTCAGGTATACACTAAAACCGTACCTCTTTCCAAAAGGCATGTCAGTGGTAATGATGTCCACAGAGCTTGTCCTCATGGGTAGATGGCACAAGTCCCACTGTGCAGTGTCTATAGGCAAACCTGGAGAAGTGCTGAATGAAAACAAGAAACACTAAGTATGTCTTTATTGAAATGAACAAATATGTTTACCAACCAATTTATCTTAATCAAAACTTAAAGGGCCCATAATTAAACTTTCTTTACTTTCTTGAAATAAAATAGTTTGATGCAGTATGTAAACACAAAGTTTCTTCATGTGTTGCTCACTTCCCAGTCCCCTTTACATAAATCTGCCTATTCAGCCTACAGCTCTTTAGACTTGCCCATGTTAAAAGGAGTGTTTCAGCCAATGAGAACAGAGTTGATTTGCATATATTACTCTTAAAGGGCCCAAATCCTACATTTCTATTGCTTTCTGTTTTTTTCTCTGAGGTTCACGTATACCATCTGGGTGGTTTTCTGAACTAAACACAGTCATAATTTCTTTTCCCATTACCATTTTTTAACCTCTCTTTATCCTTTAGAATTAAACAGGCTTGTTTTCTACTTTCTACTGTACCTCTACGGTAGATGTATTTATATGAACTTTGACTTGTATTGTGCCTTATATAAGTAGTCGCTAAAGTAGAAAAATGCTTCTTATAACTTGCATGAATGGGTGAGGCTAAACTGTTGTAGGCTGAACAGATGGATGTGTGTAAATGCACTGATTTTTGTGACATCACAAAAACAATGACTTCAAAACAGGTTGTTTTTGTGGCTTAACATATGTGAAAGAATACTGTTTACAGCCTCACCTGCCTCCATCTTGTCTTCTCTTCACAATATGGTTGATGTTATTAACTGTTCGACTGACAGCCATGTCATGGTTGTCTCCCGAAAGAAAGAATGAATGAGGCCACTCTATGACTCCCTGTTAAGACAGGACTGATTACTGAGTATATCTTAAGAATTACACTGTCAGTAACATTCACATAAAGTTCAGTCAAAATATCCTCACCTCTAAAGGTATGGCTCCAGTGCCACACATGGGGTCTATTATCACATCTGATACCTGTGGCTTGCAAAGTCTACAAAAAATGGAGAACATGGCAATGTCAGGAACAACTCTTATCTTCAAATTTCTATACATTAATCAAATTCATGAGGCACAAATAGTGAGGGTACTATCTGAATGGTACCCTGAAGGGTATAATCTTTTTACCACATTGATAAAAATTCCCTTTTTTACGTTAATGATGTCAAACCTAAGCATGCCATAAGCCAAGGTGGAGCGTAGAGTGGTGGGGCCAAAGTGAGTAATGTTTCTTCGGTGTAGGCTCTCCTCTGTAAGGGCAATGCCAATCACCACTTCATTGTTGTGGATATTCAACAGCACCTAATGAATAATGGTGGGAAAAACAACTCAATTATTAAGCGAACAACGAAACAATTAAGGAATCTTTAAGTAGCAAAGAGCAAATAAGAAAACAGACCTACATAAACCATTGTGAACCTTTTTTGCACTCTCAACTTCTATCATTTCTTCTTTCTCAGACACATTAATAATAGTATGAAAATATGGATTTGTAAGTATCAATTACAAGCTGAAATGGTTTCTTAGTTTACTAGCAGGAAAAACAACACATGATCCATGGTGAGTACTTTCAGACTTACTTCCACATCAAACTTGGTCATGTCTGCCTTCCACTGAAAGAACTCTTGCACAGCACCACCGAAGTCTCGCGCTGCATCATTAGAGGTGAAACTGTGTTTGTCTCCAGCTCTGTTGCATGTCACACGGAACTTCAGAGGTTTATTCTCAGCCTGCTCCTGCATCTCAGAATCCTGCTCTCTCTGAGGGTTCGTCTCCTGCTCAGCACAAGCATCTTCTTGCTCCTCTTTTTCCTGCGAAGCTTCAGGCTCAACCTGCAGCTTCTCAGGCTCTGATGCATCAATGCTTGGTTTTGGTTTGGAGGTGGCAGCTCCTCTTCTCCGACTTCTCTTCTTCTTGACAGAGTTGTTCATCTTCCATACCTCCAAAGCATTGGTCCAGGGTAATGTAGGTGCAAGCTGCTGGAGGTCTAATAATGCCTCTTCCTGTTTGGAGAAGTATCTGTTAGTGAGCGCCATTCTATCATCAGAAAAAGTCACAATATAAAAAGCAACAGCTGCAATTTTCCTCTATTGCATTTACATTAGTTCAGTGAAGCTACACGTATTGGTACATTCAACTTCTCATTTAAAATATCCACAGCTATGTAGTTATAAACTTACCTTGGAGTCTTTAAACTGATAATTCTCATAATATTCAACCACGACAAACAGATTGTCTACTGACTTTAGATGATGCACCTAAAAAAGAGATAAACAGAGTTCATTAATTAGTTACAAACATATAACATTTATGGTTCAATATGGATCAGTTTTAGTGGGAACCAGATAGTATATATAAGTATATAAATAACATTATAATACAATCTACCAGATAAGTAATTCAAAATCATTCTTTTATTAGTGGCCATGGTCACACTTTATTCGGATGGTCCCCTACAGATGATCTACAGATACTTAAATTATTAACAAACGTTCTGGTGACACTCAGTTGATTATCATCAACATTAAGGTTGGGATTAGGTTTAGGAGTAGGTGAAGGTTTTGCCTTGAGGTTAGGATTAGGGATAGATTTAATAGAATCTTTCACACACAACTTCAAGTTCAGTTGCATTTAACAGATATTCATTTGAATGCTAGTTAAAGATACACTAAGCATCTACAGAGCATCTAAGGTGGACCATCTGAATAAAGTGCAACCCCTACAATCAGACAGATATAGCATCTGATCATTTGTCTTTTTAAAGGACCACGGTGTCAAACCAAACCTATGAAACTGGTGGAGAACAGACAATCTCCATCAGTGTGTGGGGCAGGAACAAAAAGTTTACCATCATTATAACATTCTGCATCCTGTGAGACACAAACCTTGGGAAGGTTATCCGTTGTCATTTCAAAATATATCCTGCCTCGGTCTTTGCTAACTCTGGCAACTGCTCCTATCTTTTCATGCACCTCCTCTGCGGCTGTGTGCTCAAACCCTGTGGGAACTGTAGCTCCGATGGTGACAGAGAAGGGCTGAGGCATCTCCTCGCCTTCACTTGCACTTGTTCCTGGCTCAGTGCCTTCACTCATCCTCTATGGTTAGAATTATCTCTGGTCACCAACCTACAGAAAAACAAGTAAAGAGGAACAGGGCACATGAGATCCTTAATGAAAAACATCTATAGTAATACTACAGGAATTTCTACAAAGAATCTTATACTACACAAGCACAATACACTACCTCAGGTTAGTACTAGAGTTATATGACTCAGAGACAAAACTATATATTATATATATATATATATATATATATATATTATAGACTCTTATACAACACTTTAGAGATCTTACTAGTTATACAACATAGAGATCTGTGCTTTTTTGTAAGAAACGTCAGAAGCTGACAGTGCAAGATTAGCACTCATATCAAACAGCATCAAACAGGTCACAGGCCAGGGAGAGATACTGAAGTTACTGAAATATATGTGTTGTCAACACTGGTTTACTGTCACAGCAGGCTAAATTAGCTAGGTTAACACATTATGGCTGTAACGTTAAATTACAATAGCTGCTGTAGTTCGCTTAGCTGCTAGTTATTAGAAATGCTAGCCAGACAGCTTACAGTCAGTGCTTTAGTTCTTCTTTTTATTTGACGTCTTGCTCAGGACAACTAACCGAATGAAGGCACTAAACGTAAAACACGTGAAAACATAGACCGTTTAAAGTCTGATGGCTGCAGCGTGCTTTAACTTGAGCCTTCGTCCAAACTTCCCCATGTAACGGGTTTCACGAAGTCACCGACAGTAAGTAACGCGCAAGCACCGATCCTCGTGGCCGAGAGCTGATAAAAGTCTCCCTATTCGTAAACTTCAGCATCAGTGTATCTCTCTTCCGTGAATAGCTTTTTTTAAAATATGTGTTAGGTAAAAATATTTTTTTCAGAACTGTGAAAACAATGTCAGGCATCAGGCAACAAGCTCATAACCACTTGTAATAGCTTTCAGTGAGTTTGTTTCATTCAGTGATTTGGTTTCTATCACCACCATTGTGCGTAAGTTCGCAGAGCATCAAACCAATCCAAGTGAGTTTGTTTACGTGTGTAGTGTATATGTATTTTTTTATCTCTCTATATATATTGTACTATATACATATACATATACATATTATTATTATTATTATTATTATTATTATTATTATTATTAGCTGTGGTAGTGGTAGAGTGCTTTTAAAATTCAAGTTAGACCTGAACTACTATTTTGAAATGTAGCCCAGCGACAGTTCTGAAAACAAAACCATGACTGTTTGAGTCAGCTTCACACTATTCGATCATGGGGTCGAGCAGGCGAATTGAATGTATATTTTTCAGTGAATTTCACCCAACATTAGGGCCAAAGATCACATATCAGGTGAGAGAAGGCCACTGTAGCATTCTGGGTGCTAAATGTAACTGTTCAGTCTCATTTATTTTGTGACTAGTGAACTGAGCTCTTCAGTGTTCTGCCTGATACGGCCAGATGTTTAGATTGCTCTGTATGTCAGCATTACAGTGAATGTGGCGAGTAACGTTACTGCGGTAACGTTATCTTTCCAACAGATCATGACGTCCAGTATTCGAGCTCAGAGTTTCTGTTCTTCTGATTTCTGACTGCAGGTTCCTGAGGAATATATTTCAAGGGAGTTGTTCGATACTGTGCAGGTCTACATCATCACCAAACCTGAACTACAGAACAAGCTCATTACAGTGTATGTATTCAGATTCCTCTGACTGCTGTAATGTTATCACTGTCTATCACAATTACAGTTAAGCTGTGACTGCATTACCTGGAAAACTTTTCAGTGAACACTGATGAACACTGTGCCTTTCTTTTCTCTGATTCTTGTAGGACTGCGATGGATAAGAAACTCATTGGCTGCCCAGTGTGCATAGAGCATAAGAAATACAGTCGAAATGCTTTACTCTTCAACTTAGGTCTTGTTTGCGATGCTACAACTAAGACATGCGCCCTGGAGCCCATTGTCAAGAAATTATCAGGGTACCTCACAACTCTGGAGGTAGAGTTCTTCTTGATGGTTCTTTGAAAAACAGATATACACAATTTTCCACTTACCCCAAACATAATTGACTGGCGAAGACGTATTTGATATGTCCTGTGTTTGCTTCTTTAGTTCTGTACTGGAATTACAAACCTAATGGAGCTTACAAGTAATAGAAGTCTATGTCACCCAAAATCTTTTTGGGCACAGAACCAAAGTAACAAACTTTGGACACCAAACATATCTTGGTCGAACAGCTACATTTGGTGTAAAGGGGAAATTCAGTAAATTATATTTTTCTGTGAGCTAATCCTTTAAAGGACTCACACTGGATGCCATTCTGTGAAGTCAACCTGAAATCAAAACTGACCTCTTTTACTGTTAAATCATGTTCCTGGTCATGGCATGAATCATCATGTCCTGTTTGAAATACAAAATTCATATTTTCCTCTAATTGTCCATCAAAATATAATGACTTTTACTTGCCTCTAAAACATTTTGATTACATCATTCACATAATTACAAAAATAATATTAACCAATAATATCATGTTTCACCTACCTTACCCTTCTACCACCCCCACCTATCACTGAGAAAAACTCTCAGCTACCTCAGACTCCCTCCATGATATCGTGTTTCATCCAGAATTATGTCACAGTGAGAAAGGAAGAGACTTTGATTTCAAACTCCTGTTTAGTTTCATGTGGTTCTCTGTTTGATAGCTCGAGAGCGGCTTCATTTCAAATGAAGAGAGCAAGCAGAAGCTCCTGCCCATAATGTCTACATTACTGGAGGAGCTCAATGCAACAGGAGCCTGCACTTTACCTATTGGTCTGTATCTCTCTCTCTCTCTGTCTCTCTCTCTCATATGAGACCACAATTTATAATACAATACAATTTATAGGCAACCAGCCATTAAGTATGAGTTAAAGGTTTTGAAGATATACATATAGTTATGAGGAGATTAGATATGAGATAATCCACTTGGATTAGAAAGAGGGGAAAATCAGGAGCTTTCAAAACAGAGTTCCAAAAATGATTAAAAGATGTTGAGAAAATGGGGCTCCTAACAGCTGTGCAGGACCTAGTAGACCACCAAAACTGGCCCCATCAGATAAGCATTACTTAAAAGCTTTCATCTTTGAGAGAGAGGAGAAAATCAAGCTCCACTCTTGCTTCAGATCTGAAAAATCCACAGGTGTTTCTCCATCCTTCAACTGAGAGAAGACAACTCAACACTATGAGCCTGAAAGGATGTGTAGCTGTTAATAAGCTGTTACTGACAAAAGGAAACAGACAAACAAAGAAGAAAATTTGAAAATAATACAAAGAAACTGCTGGTGTTCTCAGAACAATGGACTGACCATTCCAGGGTCCAGACTTTAGCATCTTTGAATGTGCTTGAGATTACTTGGAAAAAATGCAACCAGCTTCTACAATTGAACTTTGGAGGTGTGGAAAAATATTGTGCAGATTTCTTTGGAAAACTGAAAGCAAGTCTCCTTGAAAGAATGGAAGCTGCAATAAAGGCAAAGAGTTGACACATGAAATACTGAAAAAATATACTTAGTTGTTCAGGCTTCTGTGTAATTTTATTTTAAATATATATATTCTGCTTTTTCCTGATGCTGAAAAATGAGTAATTTGTACTTAATGGTCAGGAAATTAAGTAAATGAAAAGTGGTCTCTGACTTTTTGCACAGAACTGTATTTCTGTCTTTTTACACAGATGAGTCCAACACAATTCACCTGAAGCTGATTGAGCAGAGGAAAGATCCCATGATCGTTCAGGAATATGATGTGCCAGTCTTCACTCAGAACAAAGACCACTTCATCAAGTCCCAGTGGGATCTCACCACCCAACAGGTCTGCACTACTGTTGTGACTACATTTACTTGGAATAGTGATAAGAAAAATTAAAGGGGAATTCCATCCAATTTTCAAAATGTATGCATAATTCAATTGTTGAGGTATAAACAAAGTCATTTAGAGTAGTTTGATGGAAAATCTCCATTTTACACTGGTGGTGATAGTTTTAGACCAAACCTTGATCTCAGAAAAGGGTTGTGATGTTTACAACACAAATATAGCCATCGTGCAGGATATTCATAACCATTTGTGTAATAGCTTTTGGTGAGTTAGCTTTTAGTGAACTTAGTGAGTTTTTCATAGTGAACAGCCCTGACTTGGTAAGTTTCTCTGTGAAAAAACATTTCAGGTCAGATAGCTCTGAATGACTTTATTTACATCTCAACCATTTAATTATGCAGATATTTAAAAAAAAAAGTGGAATTCTCCTTTAAATGAAGAAAAAACATACTGATATCAGGTCTGAATAAGAAATAATGAATAAAACAAACAGATGAAATAAGTCTTTTAATCAAAACTTTGGGTTGGATTTCTATGAGATTTTGCTGCCCTTGCCATTGTTTCCCTGTTGTGTGTTGTAGATCCTGTCCTACATCGATGGGTATCGACACATACAGAAGATCTCTGCCGAAGCTGACGTGGAGCTGAATTTGGTACGAATCGCTGTTCAGAACTTACTGTGAGTTCTTCCTTTTTTAATCAGCGACATTTAAATAGACGTGTAATATTCTAAGACTTTTGAGTTGGGACTAAATACTGTCTTTTACAGGTATTATGGAGTTGTAACACTAGTGTCAATATTTCAGGTATGGTATTTATCAGCCATTGTAAATATGTGTGTGCTTAATTGTTTTGAGTCAATACAAATATTCTACATGGCTATTGTTTATGAATCTTATATGAATCTTATTATTATAATAATTGGTTGTAATTTTTTTTAGTACTCCAATGTTTACTGCACAACACCTAAAGTCCAGAGCCTAATAGATGACAAATCTGTTCAAGAAGAATGCCTTCATTACATCAATAAACCAGGTAATATAAAGGCTTAGTGCTCATTTAGTGAATTTACCAGTAAACTCCTTGTCACTTAATCAGTGGAATGCCTTTGCCTAACAAATCTCTGTTAAGCATGTGTCTGTGTATTTGTCTTTATGTAGCAAATATCCTCACAAGGACAGTAAAATATGTAAAACACTTAATGTTATTTAATGTCCTCACTTTAAATATTTTTTGTGTAAAAAAAAAAACATGCTTTTTATTTTCAGTAAGGATTTAATTGTAAAATTAGGATTTTAACTGGTAGTAATACAAGAATGTGTGTTTGTTTGTGTGCCCCTGTAGGACAGAGAGCCAGTCTCAGGGATGTATTTCAGCTATATTGTGGTTTGACTCCTGGAACTACAGTGCGTGATCTGTGCTCTCGTTACTCCCAGCAGCTGCAGAGAGTGGATGAGAGGTGAGAGTGAGTTTACTCATTACTAATAGTATAATAAATAATTATAAAAGTAGTCTAGAGCAGGGGTCTCAAACTCACTTTAAATATGACAAAAGCACTGTCACTGTGAAATTTCTGCCCCAGTAAACTGAAACGGCTATTAATGTGAAATGGAAGCATCTAGGAGCAAAAACAGCTCAGCCCCAAAGCAGTAGACCATGCAAACCCATTGATTGGGGCTGCCGAGTCCTGAAGTGCATAGCGCATAATAATTGTCTATTCTCTGTTGTATCACTCACTCAGAGTTCCAAACTGCTCCTACAAGCAACATCAGCACAAGAACTGTGCATTGCTAGCTTCATCAAATGGGTTCCCAGGGCCAAACGGTTGCACACAAGCCTAAGATCACGATTTACAATGCCAAGCATTGGGTGGAGTGGTGTAAAGCACACCATTACCGGACCGGAAAGGAGT